TTAGCCGTCCAATTCTGGTTATGCCCTTAATGTCGAGTGCATAGTCGGGGAAACATTTAGACGTCTTACGGTATAACACAGACAGAGCATCGAACACATTACACACATCACTTTGACCAGGTTCGGCATAACATTTTGGTCTTGAGGAAAAAGATAGACCCCCATGTTTGTAACATTCCCCGGAAGTGCTTACCAAACATGATATTTCACATTGAACACATTTCAAGGGCCTACTTCAATTATTGCACAACGTTATAAGGCCAAATCTAACTGATTTGTTTTTGTTCGTAGTAGTTTCAGTGAATACATAATCAACTGATGAGTAACTGAATGCGCCATTTTACATGGTTTAATTACTTTTCAAATTTGGAAAACAAGGTGTTACTGCGAACAAATCTATTTGTTGGTTACTTGCATTCGTTTCAAAGCGCTAATCTCCCAAACAATATGTCTGTGGCTGGAGATGTCACGTTCACTGCATTCATCTTTGTGTATAGCATTAGTTCAACCTTCTAGATTGGTCAGACTCTCGGCAATAATCATATATCATTAAGTGACGCGACAACCTTAAATGAAAGTGACCTCGAGAACATTACCCAATGTCTAGGTCAACGTTTTCACACCTTCGCCGAAATGCGTTAACAGAATGAACCATATATCACAAATTATGTCATTTTCAGTTACTGTGCGTGCCAGCTAGACCATATTATCAGTACAAATGAACTGCACACTGACCGAACGCTGACTGGCCTGTTTCCTCGTTACTGTGTAACGCACGGGAAACAGTTGGTCGAATGGACATGTAACAACACCAACATACAAGACATGAACATATAAAAGTGTTTCACTACAATTACTAGTTTCTTATAAATCTTATATGTCATTTTTTCACATTTTCGTTCTAAAATTAGACTTTATTTTTCTCTTCCCACTCCGAGTCACTTCCTTCATATTGAACTCCACCGACCATGTTCGTGACTTTCTGCTATAAAAACTCGGCCTAGTTCAATCAATGCACATCTGAGGTCACATTCCTCATATTGTTAGTATTTCTACCGTTTTTCCCTCATCGCAAACGTTAATTCCAACTTAGACAGCTAATCCATAACTCCTTGTACCACTTGTGTTTCTCGGCTATCGACGGTTATATATGGCGGACATGCGAGTCTAGCGCAGGTCCACTTACGCCGTCTAATGGAGGCAGTCATGGTATATATGTATGTAACATAACAGCATATCGTCACGGTCATTTATCAATGATTTCTGTATGACACCGTAGACAACAGTATATCCTGCATAGCATGGCACTTGTCACGTGTAGACACATGTTTATCATGTATCTCGTGGTGGTTTGTGAGGTGTAGACAGCAGTGTATGGCGGTGGTTGTGGGGTACAGACAGGTGTATATGGCGGTGGTTGTGGGGTACAGACAGGTGTATATGGCGGTGGTTGTGGGGTGCAGGCAGGTGTATATGGCGGTGGTTGTGGGGTGCAGACAGGTGTATATGGCGGTGGTTGTGGGGTGTAGACAGCAGTGTATGGCGGTGGTTGTGGGGGTCAGACAGACGCATATGGCGGTGGTTGTGGGGTGTAGACAGACGCGTATGGCGGTGGTTGTGTGGTGCAGACAGCAGTGTATGGCGGTGGTTGTGGGGTGTAGACAGACGCGTATGGCGGTGGTTGTGGGGTGTAGACAGCAGTGTATGGCGGTGGTTGTGGGGTGTAGACAGCAGTGTATGGCGGTGGTTGTGGGGTGCAGGCAGGTGTATATGGCGGTGGTTGTGGGGTGCAGACAGCAGTGTATGGCGGTGGTTGTGAGGTGCAGACAGGTGTATATGGCGGTGGTTGTGAGGTGCAGACAGGTGTATATGGCGGTTGTTGTGGGGTACAGACAGGTGTATATGGCGGTGGTTGTGGGGTGCAGACAGGTGTATATGGCGGTGGTTGTGGGGTGCAGACAGGTGTATATGGCGGTGGTTGTGGGGTGCAGACAAGTGTATATTGCGGTGGTTGTGAGGTGCAGACAGGTGTATATGGCGGTGGTTCTGAGGTGCAGGCAGGTGTATATGGCGGTGGTTGTGGGGTGCAGACAGGTGTATATGGCGGTGGTTCTGAGGTGCAGGCAGATGTATATGGCGGTGGTTGTGAGGTGCAGACAGGTGTATATGGCGGTGGTTGTGGGGTGCAGACAGGTGTATATGGCAGTGGTTGTGAGGTGCAGACAGGTGTATATGGCGGTGGTTGTGAGGTGCAGACAGATGTATATGGCAGTGGTTGTGAGGTGCAGACAGATGTATATGGCGGTGGTTGTGGGGTGCAGACAGGTGTATATGGCGGTGGTTGTGGGGTGCAGACAGGTGTATATGGCAGTGGTTGTGAGGTGCAGACAGATGTATATGGCAGTGGTTGTGAGGTGCAGACAGATGTATATGGCGGTGGTTGTGGGGTGCAGACAGGTGTATATGGCGGTGGTTGTGGGGTACAGACAGATGTATATGGCGGTGGTTGTGGGGTGCAGACAGGTGTATATGGCGGTGGTTGTGGGGTACAGACAGGTGTATATGGCAGTGGTTGTGAGGTGCAGACAGGTGTATATGGCGGTGGTTGTGGGGTACAGACAGGTGTATATGGCGGTGGTTGTGAGGTGCAGACAGGTGTATATGGCGGTGGTTGTGGGGTGCAGGCAGGTGTATATGGCGGTGGTTGTGGGGTACAGACAGGTGTATATGGCAGTGGTTGTGAGGTGCAGACAGATGTATATGGCGGTGGTTGTGGGGTGTAGACAGGTGTATATGGCGGTGGTTGTGGGGTACAGACAGGTGTATATGGCAGTGGTTGTGAGGTGCAGACAGGTGTATATGGCGGTGGTTCTGAGGTGCAGACAGGTGTATATGGCGGTGGTTGTGGGGTGCAGGCAGATGTATATGGCGGTTGTTGTGGGGTGCAGGCAGATGTATATTGCGGTGGTTGTGGAATTCAGACAGTTATATCATGTATGTCGTGGTGGTTGTGAGGTGCGCACAACAGTATATCGCGGTGGTTGGAAGATACAGACAGATGTATATGGCGGCGGTTTGTTAGGCGTTGACAGCAGAGTATCGTGTATGTCATGGTGATAGTGAGCACACTTTGTTGAACTATTTGAACAAAAGAACATCGTCCGACACGTAACGCTCAGACGCTTGGCCCGTTAAACAAGGCTGATCGCATCTGTGTCCAGACAAGGCGCCCGGCTCTTATGTCTTATTTAGGAGATGTTACGAATAGAAAATTATTTGTTTTTCGCAGCTTTTCCTTTCCCTTTCATGGGATTTCATAATTGTGAAGCTCCACCAGTCCCGAACCCTCGTCTTCCTGAGGCAAGGTAGTTAACTGACTAAAAAGGTCCAGTTTCCACCCTTGCCGAACTAGGCTGGAATATTGAGTTATATTTTGGCTGGACTAATAAGTCCATGCATAGGCCAATCAAAATCGCGTAACGAAATCGACATCCGGTTCGTAAACCGCCGTGCATATTTCGGTCGATTGCAGGATTTGCAAAGAATGTGTACCGCAAACTCGTCGTCAATAGATATTTTCCAAATTTTT